TATAGATAGCCACAGTATTAATCAGATGAAATGTAGAGACAGAGAGCATGTCAAAGGAGCATCCCTGAACTTCCCTAATCAGGTAGGTACTATGGTATTTTATAGGTGAGGGAGCTGATGGCTTTAAAAGGTGACACACCAAAGACATGATTATAGTTGTAGATTTTTCAGAGCAGGAACATTATAAACAAGGGCTCAAGAATTCAAGTCTCCTGCCTGGAACTGTGTTCCTTTATTGCTCTCTCATAATAACTGGAGAATGGAAACTCAGAGCTATGAACCATTTCACCATTTTTGAGGCATGGTGGTGAGTGGACAGAGTGCTGCACTGGGGGGTGAGGACCCCTGGATCCTTTCTCCAGCAAAGCCACCAAACACTTCTGGACATCATCTGCTTTATCTGAAAATGAAAGGATTGGATGAGATAAGTGACTTACTTATCTTATTATCACATTAATGGACATTAACAACAACAAAAAATCTAGAGCCTTGTACCTATGGAAGGCAAAATGAGCATTGTTGGTGCCAGGACTTTTGGTTTGCTGTGAAAATTCTAGCTGAGCCCTTTGGGACACCTCCCACATGGGGCATACTGCTAAATCATTGCTTTAGGTATCAATGTGGTGCAGTGGATGAGCTCTGAGTGTCATGGTCAAAGTCAAAGAGACACAAGGGCTTTTCACCTCAGCTTGACCCTGTTAAACCTACTGGAGTATGACTTTGGCAATAAAAAGCAAATATATTGGCTCTGAGCCCTTCAGGGTTCTGAGGTTCTTTACAAGCAGGAGTCAAGGGGGAAATGAGACGGATTTTATTTTATGCAGTCCATATTAGGGATCTACCTAGTCTAGGGCATATGTGACATGAGAATACTAAAATGCACATCTGGGGCTCTGCAAACCTGATTTCACTTCACTTGGTGATGCAGCAGAAAGAACCATGAACTGACTATCAGAAGTCCTGAACAAGCAGGTCAAGTTCACCTTGGAAAGTTGGGTAGCAACTTAGGACCTATTTTTCTCCTTTCTAAAAGTAGAGTTATCAATGGATAATTTCTGAGTTTTCTTCTAGTTCTAGCAATTTGAGATTTATGTAATGTTGGAACTTTTGAGACAGGCCATCAGGGTTCTTGTTGGTCAAACTACATCCCAGAGACAAATCAAGCACTAGTTTTTAAATACCAAACCTTGATAAGGCTTTCAGCGGATTAGAGTCTTATAGGCAGAGCATCTGAATTTGGCTGCCACTTGAAGCAAGGCTTTCTGATTGCATACTGAGGACAACACATTTAAAGTAAAACAAAATAGCAATGGTATCTCTAAATCTTATAGTTTAGCCCTTTAGCGAGGGTTACACCTGGAACTGTTAAGGCTTTAAGTCATATTCAAAATTGACAAAGTGCAGTCAGATGCAAAGATGGGAGATTGCATGTTTTATGGAAAGTTAAATTGATTAATATCACCACTTGACCTAGTGTATCTTCCATATGTGGAATGCAATCTCCATTCTTCCACTGTGTTCCATTGATAATTGAGTCTTGTTAAATGCAATCATCACACTTTTCCTGAGGTCTAAAATAAGATAGGTAGTCAAATCATGCCACTGTATTCTTTTTCTGAATGTCTTTTTATTGTATAAGCTTATATTTATATCATATTTTACATACTCGTCTTATTCACTATTTCATGTGATCATCACAATAGCCGTATCTGATAAACTGGAAGTAAAAATGGTATTTCCATTTAAAGAAGAAAAGCTGAGGTTCAGGTGCCAAGGTCACATGTCTAGAAATGACCACACTTTTCATTACCAATGGTCATCCTTGTGCAAGGTGGGTGAATATTTGTAAGCTCCTCACTAATAACTAAATGTTGGCATGTCAGAGGGAGTTACTCAGAAAAAACACAATGTGAATGATTAATCTAAGTAGTACTAACGGATATTAATGATTAAAGAATACTTTGGAGAATAATATTTTCTATATTACCATACAATTTTTTAAATATTTTTGATAAGTGTAAAATATGCAAGAAATACCTAGATAAAATAAAATGAACCTGTTGAGATGGAAGAAGATGAATATCTCAGAAAGAGAAAAATTTATAAGGAAAATCAGAGGATCTGGAGCAAAAATAACTAAAGAAATTTAACTATAGGTCAATTATATTGCTTGTTAGTGGTTTATTTTCTCAAAGTTTGAATTTCTCAACTTATACACTGAATTCAATGCTGTCCCCTTCAAATAAATTATAATGAGAGTCTATATACTTATTCCATTCATGCTGCCTATTACTTGAATTCTTTCTTGAATTTCACTTTTATAATTGCCTTCTGAAGTGGACACTTTCTTTTAAATACTCTCAGTGCTGTTTTAGATAAATTCAGAATTATCAGAGTGATAGAAGTAATTTATTTCTCTCCCTCCCTCTTTTCTTCCCTCTTTCCCTTTCTCCCTCTCCCCAATTATCCTTTCCTCCCTCCCCTCTCTCTTTCCCCTTCTTCCTTCCTATTCTTCTTTCCTCCTTTGTCTTCCCCTTTATTGCTTTCTTCTAAAAAAAGAGATGAAAGTAAATTCGTTACATCTTATAAACCTCTGAATATTTCTAGAAATTATTCTAAGCAATGCAGTGTTGTAGTAACAACATATTTCCCAAGTAAATTATGTTGTGTACTCAAATTCTGGTTTGTTAAAATATTTTATTTTATACCTTTGTAATTATATTCCCTGAAATGAATGATATAGGGATTTGGTTCAAGATATTGAAAACTATAGGAGACATGACTCTTATCTTCTAACTAGTGATGGGCTTGAGCAAGCATCACTGAGTGAGAGATGAGGAGCAGTGCAGGGTATGGAGGGGATGCATGCCACGTGGAGCATTGGGTTGAATTAGGGGTGCTACACTTTTATCAATTGGAAGTGCCCAGAGAGAGCAGCCAAGGGATAATGGAGGGAACTTGAAGCCATAGCATATGATAACTACATGAAGGATCTGGGGAGACTAAACACAATGTGGCATATGAGAATCAGGATGGTATGGGAGAGAGGGCATGGGACTGGGAATGTGGCTTCAAATGTTATTTCTGCTTCCAATTATCTGTGGAACATTGGGCAAATAATCCAACCTCTCTTACTGATCTCGTTAAAAGTGTGCAACTTAAATGAGCGTAAGCTTTCTTCAAAGATTAATATTTATTTTATTAGGGATGCATGATAAATGTCTTCAAATACTTCAAGAGCTCTCATGTGAAAGAAGGAGTAGAACAAAATGGTATAATATCTAAGGAGGAGACCAGGCTCAAGGGCTTGCAAGGCAGCAGTGAGATGGCTACCTTGAGGGTGGAGAGTAGTGATGAACTCACCATCAATGGGAGTATTCAAAAAGAGCTGTGAGGCCCAAGTTTATGATGCTATAGACAGGAAGTATAAACTGCAAGAAGTGGTGAGCTAGTTGATTATGTATGTTTATATGTTTCTTTGAATTCTGAGATTCTAGGATCTATCTTAAGGGTTCCTCCTGGTTACATTTGTGAAGCTACACAAGACCACAGAATGAGAGGCTTAAAAGATCCCAGGCAGCCCTAAAAGTGAGAAGAAATCCATGAGAATTTGGCTTATGATGCCTCATCATCTTTATCATTGCCTAAGCCAGGGATGTGGAACCTTTTTTCTGCCAAGGACCCTTTAGATATTTATAACATCATTTGCTTAAAATAATTCAATTAATATAACTTTAACTTGCCTCCTGATGCTTTCTTCTTCTCCCCTTCAGTGTAATATTAGGAGGTCATTGTTGGCCATGTCTCCAAAGCCCTTTAGGACCTCATGCCATTAATAAGATACCCCCTTTGCTTCTTAGCAGAGACACATATCACAGTAGCATCAGGCTGAGGCTCCAGAGTAGCATGTCTTGTGGACACACAGAGCTAATCATTATTGATTCCTTGGGCCCTTATGGTAAAGGGACATGAATTACTGTCAGCACAGTTGAACTAATTTGGTTGTAATGAGCATGCCTATGGAAATTCCCAATGAGGGAACTCTTCAACAGATCAGAGTGGCCAACAGGGTAGATGGGGTGAGTGTAGGTGCAGGTGTTGCAGAGAAAGACAATTTCATTGGTCTGACTCTAGTTATTTCCAGATTTTCTGCTAATATATGAGCCTGTGCCTAGAACTCTCTGTGAAATGCCTCTCCCTCATTCCCCCTTTGCCCCCAGCATTTTCTGTTCACTGTGTACAGTACAATAGCCCTGGTTCTCAGGTGCATCTTGTGGAACAAGATCCTGGACTACTAGACTCATCTCACATCTCTTAGAAGTATGGGCTAGGCTGGATCTTAGCAGGAGTTCAAAAGCCTATGAATATCTCTGGTAGGGGGAGAGAGCCTAAGCTCCAATATGCCACCTTTCTTAGCAGAAAGTTGCCATGGCACATTCCCATTTTCTTTTCTTGTTTCTACCACCTTTAATCCACTGCTTTTAAAAATAATTGTTTAGATATTTGCCAAAATTTTAGTGACTTTTGGTAAAAGTACAGGATAAGAACCTAAGATGTATTTAATAATAAAATGTAATGGATTAAAAAAATTGTTAACATAATGAGGGTTCACTATGCACCAGGTCCCATGGTGAGTTATCTCATTTAAGCTGTGTAAACCTAATAAAGTAGATTTCTTTATTACCCCATTTTTGTAGGTAAAAAAGAAGAGTGATGTTCAAAAGGCTAAGTGATTTGCTCAAAGTCATAGCTATAGACTAAATTCAAACATGGTGCCCTTATTTCAGATTATTAACTTCTCATATTATTCCTATGATGTGAAAAGTTGGTGACTCTATTGAGTAATCAAAAGTTCCAGGGGTACCACATTTCCACATGGTATTTATATCTATCTATCTATATGTTTATCGCCATCCACCTTTGTCTCTTTCTTTCTAGCTATCATGTTCTTGACATACGTTCTTCATACTTTTAACCTTTCTTTTATTTTATCTTCACAGGTATCTGATCAATGTCACTTTTGAGGGGAGAAATCTGTCCTTCAGTGAAGATGGCTACCAGATGCACCCGAAACTGGTGATAATCCTTCTGAACAAGGAGAGGAAGTGGGAGAGGGTAGGACATGTCTTTGGCAATTCTCAAGCACACTAGAGAGGAAGGGGTGGAAAGTTTGCAAAACATTAAATGAAAGCAGTTTCTTGGTTTTGCTCTCTGAGGCAGGGAGCAAGAAATCAATACTTTGAGAACACAGAAGAAGCTATTTCTTAAACTTGTATCTTCATTTTCTTGCTCTGTTGGTTAATCAAATGATTATTTTCTTTATGTATTGCCCTTTTTATTATTTATAGTGCTGTATGAATCATGACTTTGTTTTAATGGAAGATTATACATGTACCATGTAACACAATTTGGTGAAGAAACTGTGTCTGGTACAATTTAGAAGTCATGTCCTACATGGTACACTAGGGAGGCCTAATTTATGAGCAGGCAGGTGTGGATTTACAGTGCTGGGAGGCCTGCCATGCAAGTCTTTTCTCAGGCTCTCTCCCACTGCCAGCTAGTCACAATGTCTAAAATTCTACCATTAGAAATTATGGCCTAGGTTTAATTCCCATGTCCTCTACTAACCATCTTATCTACTTAGGGACCTTGTACAGATATCTTCACCACTTGTACCTCCACTTCATCATCTGTAAAATGGGAATAATAATAGCACCCACCATTATAATAGGGTTGTTATGAGGATTAAATATTATTATATGTAAATGACTTGAAAAGGTGCCTGGCACATAGGCGGCACTCCATAGGTATTAGCTTTTATTATTGTTCCTGATTCCTAGTCAAATACAAAGGGTCCTGAGAGTAATGCCATCAGTGGTATTTCTCAGAGTGTGTTCTGCAGGACCCTGGTCCCTTGAGATGCTTTACTGAAAAATGGTTCTGCAGATAAATAAGGTTGGGAGATGCTACCTACTCTTTCTCATCCTGAGAGATTCTCAGAACATATTAGCATTTGAAAGTTCAGAGGTATCTTTTAGCAAAAAAAACCCACATATTTTCTACTATTTAACTTGGCATTTCCCAAAATTATTTTAACACAACACCCTTTTGTTCCTGAAATTCATATTCTGTGAAACACCTTGGGAAACATTGATTTAAGGCAATTTCTACAGACTCTATGGACTGATTGGCTGAGAACAGGCTTTAAGATGTCAGCGTGACTCTGACTAGGATGGAAACCAAGCTATATATTTCAACAGAGTAGCCAGGAAAAGAGGCCAGAGCTCAACTTGAAATTCATGGTCCTGTTACAGAGAGCCCTGGACAGATAGTATATGACTGCTCACCTATGAAACTGGGCATGTGTGGCTCAGGTAGTGGAACCTAGGACCTTATTCTTCAAATTGAAAGACCTCCATCTGTCATGTTTTTCCTCATTTCAGGGCACAGTATAAGGCTTACATTATGCCTGGTGTTCTTGATTAAAGTTGCCCTCCCTCCTCTGAGTTATCATTTGTTCAGAAATGGTTGTTCCCTGGGCTCCTGCTCTTCATCCCAATCAAGCTGATTTTCACTGCTGCTGTAGAGACAAAATAATTTAAGAAGTGTGCTGGGACCCTCGTGTGTAATAGGCACTTCTGTACATCTCCAGAAGAGGAGTTATTAATAACTGAGGCTTCAGGCATGGATCAGAAGACGTCCAGCTGGGGTAGCTTTTGTGAGGTAAACTCATGATTACTCTCTCAAGTATGGGGCATCTCAAACTGTACTTTCTTAAAGAGATACCACTTACTATCACTCGTGCTGACTTCTCTTCCTTAGGCTGAAATCTGAGGCCTGTGGTTCCCACCCATTTCCAAAACTAGGTTCTCTACCCTGGAATTTGGATCCTCTCCCTTTTTTATCACTTCTACCTTTATTCTAGCTCTTGAATGTATTCCTTACTTTTTCTATTATCCAGGAACAATGTGCTTGTGATGTGTATGCCTTCTTGCCTCTTGATTCCCACATTTGTCCAGTCAGATCAGCCCTTAAACATGGATGCAGAATAGGCTTCCTAAGGCATAATTCTGATTATGTTTTTTATTTGCCCAAAACCCACTCAAAGTTTCTGTGGTTTATGGATTGGGTCTAAACTTTACTCTTTCATTCAAGGCTCTGGTCTACCTTTCAACCCCTGTCTTTCTCTTCTTTGTTTCCCGTCTCACCATCAAGCTATACTGGACTCCTCTCTGTCCTGAGAGTATACAACATGTCATGAGGTTTCCTTTTCCTGGGATGAGTTGTACAATTATACAAATAATAACCAACCTTTGAAACCCACTTAAAATGTTGCTGTATCCTTCCCTGATCTTTGACCGAAATTTAATCTTACTCCCTCATCCCTTGTAGCATTTGCCCATACCTCTGTTGTAGCACTCATCACATCTGCCTGTGTTAGGGCTGTGTGCGTGCGTGCATGCTTCCGGCGGCCAGAGGATGTGTCTTTTATTGTGTCCTCACAGCAGCCTGGAAGAGTGTGTTACATTGAGCAGTTCAATAAATATTTGTCTAATGAATGAGAACCATTACATAATACAAGAGTCTAAAATCCATTATTAAGAATCCAAGTTTATGCTATTGCCCTTGATACTGTAGCTAGGTTTTTGTTGTTGTTGTTTCTGGTGGTGGGAAATAAGATCTGTGTGTAGGCTGAGTTTTCATAGATCATACTTTAAATGTACTAATGGAACATTATTTAAAGAAATTATGTGGTTAATCATTTTGTAAAGCATTCGGAGAGGGGTTGAAATCACAGAATAGAACATTTTCATATCGACTTGGTTAAATCAGGGAACACTGCTGGGGAGTGATCTTTAGTGTTCACTGAGTTCACAGAGCCACGCAATTTCTAAACTAGGAAGTTCTCGTTAGGGCTCTTTTGTGGGCAGGAAGGGGTGGCAGGAGCCAGGCACAGCTCCAGGGCATGTCTGAGATGTGGTGAAATCACACATCACACTGTGGGAAGTTGTACTGTTTCTTCCACAGTAACCCAAGCCCCAGCATCATTCTGCATTCTCAGGATTCCTGATACCACTCCTGCAGGTCCCTCCTTGTGGTCCAGGGGAGATTTAGTATCTGTGGACTCTAGAGAGGCAGGCACCAGGGTAGGATCTTACAGTGAGGAAATGGATACGGGGTGAACGCACAATACAGTGTTCAGATGTTATGTTTACCAGTGTCACTCCAATAAATTCAAAGAAAGTGGGGGAGAGAAGATACGCAGGAAAGGAATCTAGGTTTGTGGAAGAAACATTGGCTAGGAGACTGGACTCTCAGTCATGTTCCTAACTGGCTGTGTGACCCACTCTTTTCACTTTTCTAGATCTTTCTTTCCTGGTATCTAAAATCGAGGCATGAGATTAGGAAGATTTGTAGGGTTCTTTCCAGCTCTAACTTCTGGGATTAAAAATCCACATTGTAAACAGGCACTTGGAATGAAAATCAGGTGAGAGCTGGAGCATACAAAAGAAACTGGAGTCTGTTTTTAAGGACAGTAGCTCCCAGGACAAATGTGTCATTCTTGCCATTTAAGTAAACATCACCTCCTCAGAAGGCCTTCCCTGTTGGCTTGAGACAAAGTAGCCACTCAGTCACTCTATCACAACAGTTTATTTTAATTTTCTTCAATATACTTATTATCTGATGTTTGCTCATTTGATTGCTGTTTGTTTATTGCCTGTCTCTTCACACCAGGATGAACACTCGATGGGAACAAGGACCTTGTTTTTGCTTCCTCTAGTTCTTACACTAAGAAGAGTGGACACTTGAGAGATAATTGTTAAATAGATGAAGAATCCATAGGCATAGGAGATTTAGAATATTGGCCAGCCACTTCACTTCTACCCGAAAGTCTCCCGTTTAGATAGAGTGGTTTACTGAAGGGAGCCTGAGAGCAGGTACAATGTCCGCCTTCAGAGTGAGTGCTCTGAGTGCCAACAGAGGACTGGTGGACAATCTTCAGTGAGCTCACTGTCCAGTAGACACAGGCCTGACCAGGGTTAGCAAGCAGGTCCAGGAAGGCTCATTGAGTTGTTGGTGAACCATGTGATGGGATTTCATAGGGTTCCTTCAGGATTTTTAAAAGTAGTCTCAAAGGTAAGATATTATAAATGTGGTTTATTTTCAAGAGACACGAAGTCCTGGCAACATAGTCTATGGGACTGAGCATGGCTTTGGAAATCAGAAAGAGCCCAGTGCATGTGGCCATTTATCAGCTGTATAAACCAAGCCACTGATATTACCTGAGTCTCTTTGCATCTTGTAAAATAGGGCTTTATGTAAGGCTGTTATAAAGATTAAAGGAGACTTTATAGTGAATCAACAGTTAGTGGTGACTGAAATACAGCCAGTATCCAGCAAATATCATTTGGTAGTTCCTACCCTCCTAGTGTAATTTTTAAGGTAATATTTGCTCATGGTATAAAGTCAAATGGTATTAAAAAAAAAGTCAAATGGCCCAACTGGTGTGCCTCAGTGATTGAGCATTGACACATGAACCAGGAGGTCACGGTTTGATTTCCAGTCAGAGCACATTCCAGGTTGTGAGCTCAATCCCTAGTAGGGGGTGTGCAAGAGGCAGCCAATTGATGATTCTCTCTCATCATTGATGTTTCTGTCTCTCTCTCTCTCCCTCTTCCTCTCCATTCCTCTCTGACA